TTGCTTTTGAAAATATAATTCCCAACTTCAACCACTTTTCCTCATAGTTGGTGACTTTAACTGCCGCCACACTCTTTTGAGTGATTCTATCACCAACTCCCGAGGCCGATCTCTAGAGCGCTTCCTCTCCACAGCTGACCTTACTATTCTAAATTCAGATCGCCCCATTTTGATACACGCACGCAATCTTTTTCATGCATTGACCTCTCTCTATACCCCCTTCTCTTCATTTAGATTTCCACTTGTCAATTCTAGACCACTTTCCCTATAGTGACCACTTTCCAGTTCTCCTTTCTCCTACTTCATATGTACCACTTCCTAATTCCCCACGCTGGTGCTTTGATAGAGCTGACTGGTGTACTTTCACTTCTCTCTGCTATTCATACCCCTCAATCCTCCCTCTCATCCATTTCAGAAATGATACAGTGTTTCACAACTACAGTCCTAAGAGCTGCCCATACAGCTATCCCTCGAACCTCAAGACCCTATACCTCCAAATGTGTTCCATGGTGGAATTCTGATTGCACTAAAGCACTTCGCTTAAAACGTGCAGCCTGGAACAGTTACCGCTACAAGAGAGGTACTCCAAATCAAACTATCAGCCCTTATCTCCTTTAAAAGAGCATCTGCCTGTCTTCGTCGTACAATCCGGAATATGGCAAAATTATGTTTCATCAATTACATCCTCTATATTTATCTCAAATGTTTGGCACCGAATCCATAAACTATCAGGCAAACACCCTCCCCCCCCCATCCAGCCCCCATCCTCCATATTCGAGATACCCTCATTTCTGATCCTCTCCAAGTCGCTAATGAACTGGGTGATTATTTCAGCCGGGTTAGTAGTGGTTTTCACCTTTCTCCACACTTCTCTTCTATTAAGACCATCAGAGAACATACCTCCATTATCTTCACCCCATCCTCCGCTGAGTCCTATAATGCTCCACTTTCTTCCTCTAAACTCAGTGCTGCCTTGCAATCGTGCTGCAACACTCATGAAGGCCCTGGTGGTATTCACTATCGTATGCTCCGGCAACTCTCATCTTCCTCCTTATCCTTCCTATTAAAAATTTACAACCACATATGGACATCAGAAAATTTTCCTTCAAATTGGCGAGAAGCTCTTATCCTTCCCTTCCTGAAACCCAATAACTTCTGCTTAATGTGGTATCTTGAATCTCACAATCTTCTCTCTCCTTCCCAATTTGGTTTTCGCTGTGCCCGAATCACAGCTGACCCCCTTGCTCATTTTGAGACAAATATTACATCCGCATTTGCACGCCATGAATCCGTACTAGTTATATTTTTTTATCTATAAAAAGCATATGATATGACATGGCGGAAACATGGGTGTTTTCATAAAGTCTTTCCTCTCCCAATGCACTTTCCAGGTCAAAATTGCCTCTGCTACATCATCTTTCTTTCCTCAAATCGAAGGTGTCCCACATGGCAGTGTGCTCAGTACCACTTTATTCCTTCTTGCTGTTAATGATATTGTCTCAGTTTTACCACCAGGAGCCCAGTCATCACTATATGTTGATGATTTACCCATCTATGCCTCTGGCACATCCATACCAAATCTCTACCAATTTCTTCAGTCTGCAATCTCATCAGTATCTTCCTGGGCCACAAACCATGGCTTCTGCTTTTCTACCTCTAAATCTTTCTCCATCCTTTTCTCTCGCACACGTGTAGGTCCCCTACCTCCACTCTTCTTATATGGCACTCCACTCCAATACGGTTCCTCTGGCAAATTCCTAGGTATCATTTTTGACTCCAAACTGTCCTGGCGAGACCATATTCTACACATTAAAGAAAAAGCTCTCTTCCGTCTTCGAATCTTAAAAACTCAATCCCATATATCATGGGGCTCAGATCACAAAACTCTTCTTCATCTTCATGTTACCTTGATCCTCTCCACTCTTGATTATGGATGCCATATCTACTCCTCTGCCTCAACTTCTCTCCTTGACCATCTTGATACAATCCATCACTGTGGTCTTCGCTTAGCACTAGGCGCCTTCCACTCCTCTCCAGTTGAGAGCCTTGTACACTGAATCAGGCATACCATCTCTGTGTCGATGCTTGCCCATCTTGATACAATCCATCACTGTGGTCTTCGCTTAGCACTAGGTGCCTTCCACTCCTCTCCAGTTGAGAGCCTTGTACACTGAATCAGGCATACCATCTCTGTGTCGATGCAGTGCCCTTCTCTCTCTCCGATGTTATGCTTGATTCCACCAACTTTCCCTCACTAAACTAACTATCCCACAATCTCTACTTCCTACCTTAGCTTCTCCACATTTACCTACTCCTTTCTCCACTCGCATGGATACCCTCCTCTCCTATTTCCCTTTCCCCCATCTCCAACCTCTCCCGTTCTCTGTCCATTCTGTCCCTCCATGGCTTATACCTTACCCCCATATTGCTCTTCTGTTTTCCCCGACCCACCAAAATCAAATATTCCTCCTGCTGTCCTTCTCACCCATTTCCTTGACCATGTCTCCACTCATTCCTCCAGTATTCACGTATATACTGATGGCTCCAAATCCACCTCCGGTGCTGGTTTTGCAGTAATCTTCCCAACTTGTACTTTCAAATACTCTCTCCCCCCTGAATCCAGTGTCCTTACTACAGAACTGTATGCACTCCTTTTTGCCCTAAAACACATATACTCACTCTCCTCTTCCTCTTTTACAATTTTTACTGACTCCCGTAACTCATTAACTCTCATAAAGTCAATACACACCACCAACCCCCTTGTTTGTAAGATCCAGAACTGGTTGTTCTACCTGTCTACACACCATAAAACAATCAAATTTTGCTGGGTGCCAAGCCATGTTGGAATCCCCAGCAATGAACAGGCAGATACACTAGCACCCTATGCCGTTATGTCCACATCATACCAACCATGCTTCTCATGTATCCCAGCCACAGATTATTACCCACACTTTAAGACCTTCTTGTATAATCAATGGCAATCTTTTTGGTCAAGTCTCCGCACTAATAAATTACATACTGTAAAACTATCAATCTCCTCCTGGTCAACTCCATTTCATCGGAACAGACGTTGGGAGACAGCTCTCGCCCGCTTACGCATTGGCCACACCCATCTAACACCCTCCTATCTGATGTCACAATCCGATCCACCCCTATGTTCCTTATGTATATTTCAATCCCACACATCCTATTGTCGTGCCCACGTTTTGAAGCAGCCCGTACCTCTGCTTTCCCCCACCTATCCTCCCTTCACCGACCTCCCAACCTATCAGACATCCTTGCAGAATCCCACACTTTCTGCTTCAATAACCTGGTCTCTTTTCTCAAACGCATACATATACTTCATCTAATCTAACTCCTTTACATTACCACACCCGACCTTAACCCTTTCATTCACCAATTCCTTTGCCCAGCTTTGACAACTAATCACAAACTCAACCACCCTTCACTAACATTTACTATAGTGCTACATGACCTTAGATGTCTAGCACATTTATCTTGCTTTTAACCATTAAAAATTAACCATTAACCATTCATACAGATTTCACTTTATCGACAATGTGAAGTGTGCTGCTGTCTATTGCCATTCAGGGTACAGACAACCAGAGCAGAGAAGGAAAATACTGAAGCTGGTGGATGTGGCCCTTGCAAGAACTCAGTCTTTGTTTTTCCCAGTACTGAGGAGGTAGATCACTACCCTGAAATGCCACATGCTGGTATGTGAGCTACATTTTCTGTTGGAGGATTTCGTCCTAGTCACCTTCAAGAAAACAGTGGTAGTGTTGACTTTAACTGCTACCCAGAGTCAAGTGTATTGTCAGCAAATATCTTTCCATATTGTTAAGAAATATTTTTCTGATAAGTTGAAAGTGGTAATGGTAGTGGTGATATCTTAGAGGAGGGGTTGCAAAAAGCTGAAGGCGAGATTTTAGTTTCATTTTCGTTGTTCTTGTTCTACTATTTACTTGTGTATCTTTGTTTGCTCCTCTCATTTATATGGATAATGTCCTTTCATGGGTTTTCACCACTTCTACAATATTCTATAGCTTTGTTTACCTTTTTTGCATTATTTTATTTAATAGCTCCTTTAGTGTTATTCATAGTTTTTCTTAATATAGCTATGCATGCTGGTGCTTTTGTTTTCCCAGATTTGTAACCTAGTTAGTGAAATAATTTCTTATGAATATCTTTCACACTTTAGCTTTTCAGTGGGCAGCAAATGGTTATTTTATAGTGCAGCCTAGCTAAGGCGGTAATTAATGGTTAATGGTTAATGGTTAAAAGCAAGATAAATGTGCTAGACATCTAAGGTCATGTAGCACTATAGTTAATGTTAGTGAAAGGTGGTTGAGTTAGTGATTAGTTGTCTAGTCTGGGCAAAGGAATTGGTGAGTTAAAGGGTTAAGGTCGGGTGTTAGATTAGATAAAGGATATGTATGCGTTTGAGGAAAGAGAACAGGTTGTTGATGCAGAAAGTGTGGGATTCTGTAAGGATGTCTGATAGGTTGGGAGGTCGGTGAAGGGAGGATAGGTGGGGGAAAGCAGAGGTTCGGGCTGCTTCAAAACGTGGACACGACAATAGGATGTGTACGATTAGGCGGTAATTAAGTTTGTGTGAAACTTGGTTTTGTTGATTTGTTGCGGGTATATAAAGTAAATTGTTAGAAGGTCTGTGTTGTGGTATAATTGATATATGAGCTTAATTTAGTTGGTAAGATTTTTCATTTATTAGTCTTAGTTTAGCTTAGTTTAATGACTTGCCATTTATTACCAAGTTTAAGTATCTGAAAGCATTAACCACAGCATTTTTCTTTTGGAAACTCTACAGCACTTCACAGTAGACTATTCTTTGAGCCAGGATAACATCTTTATGTCATGTCATGTCAGTGAAAACTGTTCTAAGCTTGTGCTAAACAATTTTGTGCAATTTTGATCCTGGCTGCAGTCACTGACAAGTAGGTTTAAAACTACATACTAATGGTCAGGCTAATGTTGACAAATAACTTTTCCAAATTTTATTTTTGTCTTGGACATCTTTACAGTTGTACATTATTTCCTCCAAACAAAACTTCTAAAGAATTATCTAACATGAACATTAGTACCCTTGAGTTGTAGTGAAACAAACTGACTATTGTTTAAAGCCTAAAGATTATGATATAAAACCATCACATACCAATTGGTAAGATTATTAATTTTAAAATATATCAGTACATAATAACATACTAATGGAATCATTTAACTTGAGACTATGGAAAAATTCAAAGCGGTTTATATTACTAACTACATGACATAATTAATTCTTTAGTAAAGGGATGACAATCAAATTTTCAAGTGTCATATGATAAAATCTTTAGGCTGTATATATTTCTGTCCATCATAAATACATACATAACGTAAACAAATAATTTAATTTATACTTCTAATATCTTCAACTTGTATAGGTACTTCACTATTGGCAAAACTCAATAATTTTGTCAAGCTAAATAGAGGGTACATTACAAAAATATAAAAGATTAAAAAGTAATGAAACACAAGCAAAGATATGAACACCAAAGAAACATCAAAGATAAAGGAAAAATATTAAGTTTATCATTAAAGTGAGTTAGGACTGCGATAAGTTTCTCATCTGATTACAGATTTATCATCAGATAAGTACTTTAAGTAACTTGGTGTACATTCTGCATTCCTGTGAAAAGTGGCAAGTTATGATTACAGCTTTGTTCATCCTATTTGGAGACTAAAATCACTTAATCATGAAGCACAGCAATGAAATGGGACTGGAAACATATGTTCCAATCAAAATTTGCAAATTGAGACATGATTAAAGAATTGTTCTTGCAACTTTCTGTAGTGCATAAATTTCTTTAGATCAATTTTACATACAATCTTCATTTCTGTAAGTACAAAGGAACAAAATTATCACTAAGCAACTGGAAAAATGAGCATGTAAACCTGTCTAATTAGCTGTTGTTGTTTTTTTGGTTTTTCTTTTTCTTAGATCACAGCCTATCTCATAATTATATATCTATACATGATTCCACTTTCCATTCATGCTCATTACCATACACTAGGTTCATGTAAATTAAATTCCAAAAAATCGCTTAATTACAATCATCTGGGACTATATATATTTTTACATCAATAAACATGCTTGTGATTCTCATTTTACACTATACAGACTACTATATGAAAGATGTCCTCAGAATACACTTGGTCACCTAAAGAGAATCGCATCTTAAGTTAATCACAGACATTTGGGGGCCTGTGGCTTATATGGTATAAGGCCAAATGGAAATGTTTTTGTGCTTACTCTATCCATCAATAACAGCTAGAGTAATTACCTTATGCTTTACAATAACTTCTGGATATACAGGGCAAGTTCACTTGAGAAACCCACTTCAAGAGTTAACACAGAACCTGAGCATTATCTACAATACAAATATGAAGTCTTTGCAGAGTGGACTGAACAAAGTACCTTTATGTTTTTAGGGTTTATCCACCATTATGTGACCATGTATATGCTGACAAATACAATCTCAATGAAGTTGTCATTACAGAAGCAAGTGAACTACATAGTATGAAACCGCAGAGTTCACTTATCAATAAATAACTAAGATACAGAGTGCATACCTTCATACGCACAGTATAAATGATCCTGAAACAAAACTACAAATCTAAATAAAGCATAATATGCTAACATAACCTGAACCAAAATTATCACAGCTGCTATTACCTTCATCTTGAAATAACATTACTTTTAAAGAATCATAATTGCATTTTCCAGCTATAAGCTTTACAAATATTAGAAAAAAAGGCAAATATAGAATACAAAAAAAAAGTATCAACAGATATTTTGGCCATTTACTCCATCAATTTCTTTCTTCTCAAATGATATATGTGACCCAAACATTCTCCAAAGATAGGAACTGTCTTGCATTCATCAACCATTATAAGAAATTATTAAAAAAAAAAAAGTAATAATAATAAGTTCAATTTGTGCACATCATAATAATGGTCTACCTGTGCATAGCAATCTCAGGTCTGGGATAGCTGCACTAAAAGCAGGATTAAATTAAAGAGGGGTATCACACTTTCCTTCATATAGGACTATCATTTTTCATGTGATGCTGACTGTAATTTCATCCCATTTTCAAGGTTAGTATGTAGTATGTACATGTGCCAAACTTGTTTTCAGGCTCTGCTACCTACAGAGCAACTGGCCTGCCAAACACACACTTTACAAGAGCCCATGATATCTAATATCCACCTAAAAGACAGATCTATTTCTACTGCCAGCTCATTTTCTTTGCACATTCATTTAAAGAAAGAAAATGTTCCCTAAAGTATAACTGGAACCCCTTACTCCCCACATGAAAGATGGTGTTATTGCATAGTCCCATCTCTCATTATAATTCTCATAAAGTCAAAATTATAGTATTCACCAATTCTACTGGTGTACACTTTTTTACTCATACGATACCCCCTTTATGCTGCACAAACTGGATTTTCCTAAAACAAAAGGACAAAATGTATTTTGCAAATACTTCCCTCTCTCTTGGGCTCCTTATGACCATAATGCAAATACTTTTGAGAGAGGGAGGAAGATAAATAAGAGATATATAGCTACAAAGTGAATTAGAAACAAGAAATAAATGCCTTTTACATGAGTTTAAGGAACCTTCTGGCCTTCTTCAAGCATACATACAACTACACACAAAAGACATATACTCTGATCTACTTGTGAAAACTGTTATGTATGGAGGAAATAAAACAATTATGATAAATAAATAAAAATAAAATAAATCATGTCATAAAAGATGTGACTATGTGGTATGACTAGATATGGAAACACTTAAAAGAGGAATGCAATGACATGTCATGGCTCTTGTGAGAGACATCCAAATGGAACAGGATGAATACACTTGTTCTTTCCCATCTCTATAAACAGTATTATGCACTACAGTGGGAAAAATCCTTATTGTAAAGACAGGATGTCTGATCTCAGAACGTGAGTGATGGTGCTCTCTTCGGCAGTTTTCTCCGAAGTAAGAATCTATTATTTCACACACCTATATTTACCATATCATACAAAAGGAAGAAAAGTAAATACAAAGGGCACTAATGATGAAAATAAATAATGGAAAAGACTGTAAAGAGATGACATAGCTACAACCCTTTTTAAAAAAATCATACAAAAGCATTACTGACTAGTAAGTTCTCTTAAATCTGTATCAACAAATCTGCCTCTGCTCTATTTAATCATGGCATTTTGAAATGCATTCCTGTTCCTTCAATCTATTACCTTTCTTACTAAGTTGGGATACTAAAATGATACAACAGAAAAAAAAAAACAGAATCCCATTACAAATATACATAAATAAGCTCTCATACAGATACACACATGCTGCAAGTGTTATATTTGTCAGCATACAGGCTGTGACTCTTTCAGTTGATGAGAGATTCAGATATAGAGTAACTGCAAAAGGACAAGCACACACAGACACACATCTGTCCAAATATACAATCATGTCACCTTGCAAAATAATGAACAGTGCTAATGATGCCCTATGGCAGTTGATTTTACTTTGAAAAATTCAGTAATCCTACCCAAAGATCTGACCTTCCTTCATCCACAATAACTTCTGAGATAAAAAAAACAAAACTTTCATCCTTAAAAAAAAAAAGTTGGGATTTCCATCTCCATCTCCTACTCTATTTTGGTTTATTATACTACCACTTATAAAGCTCATTTCCATACACACTCTTCAGTTCCAATAAGATACACAGTGTGCTATTCTTGCTATACAATATAATAATACAATTTACTTCTCACAGCGGGAAATAAACTGGCTCATAACTCCCCTGCCAATACTTAGTCTTCACACCACAAAAATCTATATCACCTTTGGAAACCAAGCCCTCTGATAAAGGAGTTGACACTACTTGTCATACTTCCTAGCAGACCTGGCATGTTTGGGTCTTGGAATGCCCGATTTCTTTCTGAGGGGTTTGGCAGCAGGTTTTGTGTACACCTCAGGACTGTATGTCTTGTAGACCTGCCACATGTCCCCATCTTGGTTCTGGAATATAAAGCAGAAGGTTATAAGTCTTTATGTCATGGCTGAATTTCACTGGCTGATTTTGATTCCTAATCATGATATAGGTATTAGATGCATGTTAACAACACCAAGAATTACACTGCTGTTCTACAGAATATCAATGATACAATGTATGCTTACAACACATCTTTACATACAAGTGTGCTTACATGTATTATGTGTGTAGCCAAAGCCTCCTTCCCTTTGGGCAAAGATTCAAGTGCACTGGGAATTCCTCATTAATGGGAAATACATGCAAGCCTAATTCCCTTTCTGAGTCAGCTTTCAGGAGGTTAATGCATGTGCATGTGAGTGTATTACATGTATAATGTATATGTGTAGATATGTCTATTTCTGAGTTTTTGTGCATATAAGAGCAAAGAAAGATACATGTAAGTAGAAGATAATACAATAATATGAAAAAATATTTAATTTCAACAGTATCCACAGGATAGCTACTAAATGCATGACGTCAAAGCATTCACAAGTAGAACTAATGCAATATTTTCCGCTTCAAGGATTTAATTCAATGCAATACCCCATTTTGGATAAAAACTACCCAACTAAATGGTATAAGTGCAAGTTTCCATCCTATAAGCCACCCAACCTTAAATTACTACATTCAAACAGGGAATGCATCTACAAAGAAATTCATTTATAACCCCAGAGTAATTCTCAATACGCAAGAGGAAGAATTACTTCATTATCTTCTCTCTACTCAAAAGGAAGAACTATATAAGGCACTATTCATAGAAGCAGTAACAATACATACATTAATAGCTCCACTACAGGCTTAGAGGCAGCCAGACAGCATGTCAGTAACAATTGTATCATGCAGCAACACAAGTTTTTTAGTAAAATAAATACTGTTGCGATGATAGATTTATCATGTAAATAATAATTTTACACCAAGATATGTTATTAAGTGAAAAACACAAGTTCATATATATGGACCAAATTCACCACAAATAACAATTCCATTTAAAATACATTGATTACTAGAATTAAGCACAGTCTACTCAGAAATCAATGAAAAGCATGCCATTTCCTGTAAACTTCAACTAACATCTAAGGCAAAGATTAACCAATTTATTCCCAAGATCATAACATCTTTTCCATAAAGTAAGAAGTTTATACACACTCCCAGAAATAACCAAAGCATTAACCTTTGAGACTCTGAGCCACTAACACTTATCTTAACCCACCGGTTTTATCTTATTAATTTTATTTACACAAATGACTTCACAAATGCTTAGTCATCCGTGAGCCAAGTACTAGGCCTACAGTTTTTGTTATTATCCATTTTACACAATCCTTGAATTTGGGAAAATAGTTTTTATTAGTCTTCATTATCATTATCATTATAATAATATCAGCAGTAATAACACTAATATATATTCTTTTATTTTCAAGAAATGGGGTAAATAAAAGAAATCAGGTAGGCCTAGAAATTGCTGACAAAGCCCATCTAAGTGTCCAAAAAAAACAGACCAACCATAGCAGACAGCGCATATATTCATGCATTCAATGCTTCAATAGGTTAATAGGCATGTTGTTCTGCCACAAGACAAACCTTTTCAAACTTTCAGACTAAGTATGAAAAATGCTTGAGATGGACGTCAATTGTATGATTTTTTTTCCCCTTACATAAATTTACTTAAAAGATGATGCCCTAAATAAAATACCAATGAAACCTCTATGTTTGTCATTAATCTGATGAAAACTGACAAAAAAACAGTGAAATTTATTCAAGAATAATTTTCCATTGTATTCTGCAATACTCTTTTAAATGATGAAATTATTTTAAATCCTAATAAGCAATATCATACAGAATTGTCTTGATATACAGTATAAATTAACAAATAAGAACATAACAACAATAAAAAGAAATGGAGAGAGAGAGAGAGAGAGAGAGAGAGAGAGAGAGAGAGAGAGAGAGAGAGAGAGAGAGAGAGAGGGGGGGGGGGGGGGGGGATAAAAGTATTAACTGAGAAAAATGCAATAAACATAACATTAAAAAGACTGAACAAGGAAACGCAAAAAATGAAGACATGAGAAATAAAACCCTAAAACCATTATTGCAACATAGAGCACGCAATCCCACCCGACTTTCTTCTATCAAATGAAGTCTGGAGTCTTTAGTATCAAATCCTTGAGAAAAGCGATAAAATTGCTTCCCGAGCACATCAATTCAGAGTTAAACTACCTATGACGAGATACACTGACTCTCAAACGAGCTTTATGCAATCTTTTCTTCCCTGAGTTCAGAATTCTTGACTGAGGACTTTTTAACTGCTAAACCAAAATAGAGATCCCTTCATGCAGAGGAGTTAATAACATATCTTTCATTACAATTTTTTTTTAACATAAAAAAAAATGAGGCATAAGAAAAGGGAAGAAGAAATATGTTTGGAAAACATTTAAGCATAAAAAAAAGGATGAACCAGAAGAAAAAGAAGAAATAAATTCAGAAAGAAAATCATGACATATATATATAAGTTTCTATAATGAACAACTATGTACAGAGGAGTCTAGTTTCACAAATAAACAAATACTAAAGCACAGACATTTCTAAAAGCATTCTCTTTAAATATGTCAATGAACCAGACAAAAGGCATCATTTCTATAATAAAAAATGTACTGGCCAATGAACATTAAAGCTTTCTTTAGGCATTCACCAAACAACCTTTTTCATATACCTGCATACATGAAACCAATTAATATTAACTGGAAAAAACACTGGTATACATAATAAAATATCTTGTTGATGATAATGATAATTATAAAAAGAGAGACCAAAAGAAAAAAAATAGAAAAATAACAATAATAACAAAGATCATCTAAATTATTTATCTTATGCAAACAACAAGGAGACTCAGGGACAAAGCACTAATATAATGAAGCTAAAATTGTATAAACAGAATGCCAACAGTGAACTCGTTACAGACGATCATGTGTACAAGCATCATAACTGCCTGGTCTGTGGGTTACAGCTTTATGCTTGTCCAATACAACCATTCATCTGATGGTTCTACTGCAGTCACATGCAAGCAGTCATTCCAAATTTAAAAA